ATTTTGTGTGGTGTTTTTTCACTTTTGGGGTGGGGGTGTGTAGCAAGAGCAGTGATATGGTAAATTGTTAGGTTCTGCAGTGATGCATCCATTTTAAGTAAGGGGGTAGACCTTGTGCTCAGCACAACAGTTGAGGTATACGCGCAGTATGAGAGGTTAAAGCTTGCTATGGTTGGTTATCTCTTTTCACTTTCAGTTTTGTTTGCTTGTGTTGTTTTTGTTTCTGTTTTTTTTTTGTAGCAGAATTTCTCATTAAGGAAGGATCTTGCTAATGAGTGACATTGATTCCAAGGGACTGGGGTCTTGGGGTGGAGAATGGGCTGTAGGTGACTCTCAGCGACTCACCATCTTCGAAGATCATGGGATCTCAGCATTTGGGAAGACATTTTACCCTCTTGTTGGTTACATGGGCCAGTGAGATTCTCTGTTGAGCTGCCGTTGAGAAATACAGACCGGCATTGTGTGTGGTGCTCCTTGGATAAGATTTTCCTTTCTCGTTGTTTACAATCTAATCAGATTACATCTCTTTACCCAAAACAGATGCTCTATTGTCTTCCGAACAGGCAATACTTCTGTGACTCAGAGTCCTGAAGTGTTTTATTTCCTTCAGCCTTGAAGGCCCTCCCTATATAACACTGATACCCATCCATTCATGGTTGTTTGGTCTGATGCCATCTGGTCCCTGAAGCCACTGCATGCTTTCTGCCTCACCCCTCAAGACACAGGACTACCTCTCTCTCTACCAACCTTGCATGGTTCTCCTTGTGGAGATGAGTGATTTGCATCTGTCTCAGTGCCTCTCATTAGAAGTAGGCATTGTTCCTCTCTGAATGTACAGGGACCACTTATTATTTATTTTTTATGCGTAATACTTTTTACTCATTTTTGTTTGTGTGCCCATGTGTGGGGTACACAGCCTGAGGCTAACAAATTCCCTCAGTATAGGTTAAACAAAGCTTTTAAAAAAAGGTTTTACTCACAATATATGACCTCAGGGTTGTTAACCTGGTCACTTCATGCCAATTCGAAGCTCTGATTGGCAGCTTTAGATTTCTTTTTTGTTTTTTTTAATTAAAAAAAATTTTTTTTAACATTTATTTATTTTTTAAGAGACAGAGACAGAGCATGAGCTGGGAAAGGGACACAGAGAGAGGGGGAGTCACAGATTTCGAAGCAGGCTCCAGGCTCCGAGCTGTCAGCACAGAGCCCGACACGGGGCTTGAACCCATGAACCATGAGATCATGACCTGAGCCGAAGTCGGCCACCTAACCGAGCCACCCAGGTGCCCCTTTTTAATTTTTTTTTTTAATGTTTATTTTTGAGAGAGAGAGGGAGAGACAGAGCATGAGTGGGGGAGGGGCAGAGAGAGAGGGAGACACAGAATCTGAAGCAGGCTCCAGGTTCTGAGCTGTCAGTACAGAGCCTGACACGAAATGTAAGATCATGACCCGAGACAAAATCAGACGCTTAACCGACTGAGCCACCCAGGCATCCCAACAGCTTTGATTTCTTGGTTAAAAACCTAAATAAACTGCTTAAGTTTTAGGCAGTCTTTGAGTAATAAAGAGGTTCTTAGTGAAAATATTGGGAACTATTCTATTTGGTGCTTAGTGAAAATATTTTGAATTCATGCAAGTACCAGTTATTGCCATCTCTTTATTATGAATTCAGAGTTTTCTGTCAATACAACTTTTCAATCTTAGCTATGAATATCATTTTAATCTCTTGGTGATTAACATCGAAAACGCTCTTGAGTTTCTGTCTTCAGTGAGAAGAAACCATCAGCTAGGATTTCCCTTACTTTTCCAGTCCCAGAAGGACAAACCTACCCACATCTTCAGGGTCTCCTTTTTTCCCTTCCTGTTCCATCTCCTGAAGTGCCTACCCTGTGTGGGACCAGCCTTTCCACCAGGGTTCTGGGCCCCAGGCCAGTCACCTTCTCTAGGGCTTAATCCTTGGGTGGTGTCTGTCTTCCACATCCCCCGTCTCCTGGATTATTCCCTGTGGCTCACAAGAGTTCTTCATCTCCCATCTTCAACATTCTTCGGTACCTGAGCTGATGCCCTATCTCCCTGCCCCTCGTTCACAGTCTCCAGCATCTCTCCTTCTCTTCCTCCTTTTTCAGCCTGCCCCTTCCATACCACCATCACTGTGCTCATGATGGTTACTGGCCACTCCATCTTCTTTACTCTCCCTGGCTGTGATCAGACACAGGTGGGGTACTGAAGCCAGGTCATTCCTGCTCAATGTGGGACTCCTCATGGGCAGTCTTTGCTCTGGAGCTCCCACTGGCCTGGCCAAGACTTCTTGGTGCTGTCTTATTGTCTGAGCTTCTTTGCCCAAATCTTCCTTGGCCTCCCTTTCACTGGTGTCAACCTGCACCATAGTCTGAAGGCTCTTCTTGCCTTAGACTTCCTCTTCCCTTTATGTTACAGGTGGTTTTTCCTGAGAAGGGGAAGAAAAACCTGTCCCTGACATCCAGATACTGATCTGTGTTATGGACACTTATCCACCTAGGCCATGTTATTCTCCTGTTGGACATGAACAGTCTCAGAATACCAACTCAGAGTTGCTCCAAGACCATGATAAAGTAGGACAAAACAAAAGCACCGCATCATTTTGTCTAGGCTCAGAGAAAAAATAAGGTCACAGTGTTAACCCACCAAACATTCTTCTGACTGAAGTGAGTAACTGCCTTTTTTTTTTTTTTTTTAACTATTTTCAGCTTTATCTTCACTCTAGTCTGTGCTCCGAACAAATAAAATTTTCTTTCAGGCACCCAGTCATAGAATTGCCCCGACTTGTTTACAGCATCCAATCTAGAGTGCACCCTTGCATCCTTAGGCTGTCTGAAATCACTCACCAAAGCCAGAATTCTGAAATAGGTTCTAACACCCTCTTTCTGAGAAGCCCTACCATCTCCGCAATGAGCATTCTCCCTATTGCAACAAGTAATAAACCTAACTTGTTCCCTGCAGATGTGTTTCTGGTGGTCCTTGGCTGAGGGCCATTGAAATTCCCAATAAATGTCTTCTAATTCTAATTGTGTCTTGGGAGATAGCTCCTGGAGGACCTGACTGACATGGCTGTTAGTGGACGTGGTCTGAGAGCAGGCAGTAGGACGGGGCCTGGGGACTGGCTCATGCACTGTCCCAATTGGCAAGGAAGACCCATGGCGGTGTAGTTGCCAGTGGCCCACTTGCTGAAGATTCCACCAGTGGTGCCACAGGGAGACGTCCCAGTGGAAGGGAACATTGTCAGTACAAGGACCAAACATTGGAAGGTAAGGGGGCATACTGTGTACAAGAACAGTGGAGTTGGCTGGTTAGCACCTCACTGTCTTGACTCCCCATGGAGGGATAATGACTAACAGGACTTAACAGTCAACAGCCACTCTGAGTGCCTGGGGCATCTTTGATTATCACCTGTAGGGTGAGGGGAGACAGCTGAGGAACTAGCAGGAGGGAGTAGATCAAAAATAGTATTGCATCCCCAGGGGTGATGGTGGAGATTAGCCCTACCTAAGAAATCTGAAGAATGCAGGGACAGCTCCCTATCACAGCTCCATTTAATTTCCTAACGTCGCCCTTGCAGAATCCAGATGGATCCTGGAGAGACTATAGACCAAGTAGCCTCACTCACAACTACTGTGTTGGATGTTACATCAATGCTAGAGCAGCTAATAAGGGTTCAGGTACACAATATGCAGCCATTTCTTGAGCGAGTTCAGTCTTTTCTACCCTAATTAAGAAACACTGTACAGCAATCTTCCTTTCCAGTTTTGCTCCAGCCGTATGTTAGCCCCTCCTTCTGTCCTAAAAGAGCCTAACAAGATTTATCACCAAATCTTGCTGTTTCTCCCTCCTGACTCAATCCTGAATCAGTTCATTTCTCTTCATCTGCACTGTTTTCCCCAAGCCATCACTGTCACGTCTGGACCACTCACTCTTGAGAGAATGATGGAATCTGATTATATACACAAAAACCAGAAGAATGTTTTATCTATCAAATTGAGTTTCTTTGTCAGTATTATCTAGGGTACAGAGAGGATTTTATTCACTGTGGTGAAGGTGGAACCTTGAGAGAAACTTTCTGGATGATAATTCTGCTATATCAAAAAGCTTAAGCATGTATCCTTTGATGCTTTATTTAGATACCCAAGGAATGTGTCCTAAGGAAATGAATGATAGAAGCATGCTCAGATTTAGTTAACAGATACAATTATTGCAGTGTGGAATCTAGAAATTTAACAGAATCTTTCACTCACCTGCAACAAGAAAGAAATCAAACAGATGTAGAGTCTCAATAAAATTCTGTCCCTGCAGCAGGTGTCATGCTGAGTTAAAGTGCAGCCTACGTTGCTAGTCATCAGTAGTTGCAGTGTTGGAAGAATGTTTCGATAAACAGTATAACTATCTGTATGTAGTTTAGTTTTTAAAACACAAAACTAGTTTAGTTCTTAAAACACAGAACGCAAGCATAATCCTACAGTGCTCACCCTAAGCAGGAAACAAGATCACTAAAAAAAATTGATACTGAGAAACAACATGGCATGTTACATGTATGGTAACAAGTATTTTCATTTAAGAAATTATCTTATTGGGGCCACGTGTTTTGATTAGATAGGAATTTTACCTTTAGGGGCCTCCAGGTGGCTCAGTTGGTTTTGTGTCCGACTCGATTTCGGCTCAGGTCATGACTCACAGTCGGTGGGATTGAGCCCTGGAGACAGTGTGTCAGAGCCTGCTTGGGACTCTCTGCCCTCTCTGTCTGCCCCTTACCCTCTCACGTGTGCTCACTCTCTCGGAACAAATAAACCTTAAAAACATTAAAAAATATAGTAATTTTACCTTTAAATTGTCAGTTGTAATTTGAGTTGTAATTGCATTTCTCCCAAAATTGTGTAAGCAGCTACTTTTCATTTAAAGTTGACCTGATTGAGATTAATGTGAATTTCTTATTTCCAAACTGTCTTCATCTACTTTCACCTTTCTTTGGGAAAACAATACAAGTCACAGCCATTTTTAATTGCCCAGTTTAAAGTTTTATTCAAAGAGCAAAGATTTGACAGTGCATAGAATAAATGTTTATGGCCACGTGTGGGGCCAGCACCAAAGGATTGAGAACATATTTTGCCCAAATTGTATTGAGTCTTGTCAAATCACACTGCTCCATCAGAAGGTCAGACTATTCAGTGTGGACTGACATGGGTCAGCACCATGAATGGCCAGTCCCGATTCCCTTACAGTACTGAGCATCCATGTGATGGGGAAGCAATGCACCATGAGGCAAAGGGCCCAGGCCCAAAGACTGGGCTCAGTAGATCTTTGACTTCAAAGAATACTCTAGAAACTTTCACAAGTGACCAAGTTGAAACTACAGTCATATGACAGAGTGAGGCTCGGTTATTCACAGAAAAATTCTGGCAGTGGTTAATTCCAGCTCGTGATTGGTATCATACCTATCCTATTTTGCTTACTTCTCCAAAACCCTTTTGAGGTAGGTGTTATCCCCTCTCTCGTCTACTTCAGGTCCTGGACTTAGGAAGTCAGAGCACTCAGGCGAAGTGTGCCAAGGGCTGCTGTCATCCACTCCTAGTTTTGCCTTGTTTTGTGTTTGTAATTGGTTTTTATGAGTATTTCGAACTTTTATTCTTCTTCCTAGTGAGGTTGAATGTGCATTTTGTAATTCTGTCATTTACACAGAAATACTTTTCAGGTGGAGATGACTAGCATTCTAAGGACAAGTGAAACCACTTTTAAAGTAGATCATGGAAATCACAAAGCTTGATATTCCACAAAGTGGAATGAAATCTTATGGACACTAGAAATACAATGTGAGGGTCATCAGTAACATTAATATTTTCTGTGGGTGCATTTTGATAACACTGGTTTATGTTGTTTTGTTTTTCACCTTAATGTCAAGAATTTTGTTTAAGCACTGGTTTCACAATGAAACAGTATGAAATGTTAATGCCAAAATTTGTTTTGGCTATTATATATAAATCGTGTCACAAGCAAGTTAATTTGGTTTTTTAGTTCATTCCTTCAGTCAGATGCTTTACATTGTTTCAGGTGTCCTCTTGGTGATGGAATCCTGAGACTCAGTTTAGAAAGAGAAATACTTGGTAAACCATTCCTGGTGGGCAGAGCCCTGTTTCTGCTGGACTTCTTTGGGTTGGGCTGTTTCACCATCTTGTGTCCTAAAAACAAACCAACAAACAAAAAGATTGTTTTAGATGGCTTTGAAAATTATTCAGTAAACAACTTAATACCCCACTATCTTTCAGGGAGTAAAGCTGTTGCTTTACTCTTTGAAAGACCATGAGTATAACTGGCCAACACTCATGGCTAGAAACAAGGTGTGAAAGATGGGGTGGGAAGGGAACATCTAATTCCTGTTTCGAAAATGAGGTTCTCCACTGTTTTACTTAAGACTAATGAGCATATTGTATAAACTTATATTTCAGGCACAAATTGAACACTACACCTCATAAAAAAGGTAAGGAATGAAACAGTTAATCAACACAGCCTTATAATGTCTGGCTTCTTCAGAAGTTATCTAATGTGTTCGCACCTCAATAAGACAGTGACATTAGCCTAATAAATTGAAAAGAGGAAACAGTAAGCAAGAAAGTACGATGTATACCTGCTGACTGGTCTCTGTCTGCATTTGTGAAGCTTCATATAAAACTGGGAACCTAGCTTATTCACAGGTGTATGATACTGAGATGAACCCACAGCCAGAGTCAGGAGCTGGCTCTAGCCGTTAATACAGGGGTGTGCTTAGGGCTCCAGGCCTCAGTTTCTGCAGCTTGGAAACAAAAGGGCTGGCCTCCTTCATTGACTGACAGGAGGTCCTTGCCACTCAACATTTATAAAGGACTGTGCCTCCCATTTTTCCCAATAGCCGCAGGTATGCAGGGCCTTTAGAAAAAGAACACTTTATTTTTATTGTTATATTTTGAGAAAGGCCCCGTGCGCCCCCCCCCCCCCCCCCCCCGGCAGACAGAGAGAGAGAGAGAAAATCCCAAGATGACAGCTTGGAGCCCAATCCCACGACTGTGAGATCATGACCTGAGTCAAAATCAAGAGTCAGATGCTTAACCACCTGAGCCGCCCAGGCATCCCTGGAAAAAGAACATTTTAGAAGGAGCCATTTCTGAAATGCAAAATTCAAAGCACAGAATGTCAAGTTCTGCCTCTGAAAAGAAGACTGGATAGGAGGGAGAATTAATAAACGGGGAAATGATTGTGAAAGAGAAACATGTTGCAAGGGTTTCTGGAAAAATAAGGTGGTATCTGAGATGATTGATCATGCATGAGCTACCAACCCAGATTAAGAGGCCTTAAAATCTCAAGATGATACAATAAATCTTGAGAAATAACCTTAATAATAATAGTAGTGGCAGTAATAATAGTGGAAATCGACTGAATGCTTCTGTACCAGGTTCTGTGCTAACTGCGTCCTGTGGATTAATTCCTTCAGTCTCACAGTCTGGTGAGGCAGGTGCTGTATTATCTTTGATTTAGAGGTGAGGAAATGGAGACCTAGAGAGGTCAAGTAACCTGCCCAAAGTCACCTAGGTAAGAACAAGAGACCAGAATTTGAGTCCAGACCTCAGGGCCAGGTGATTAGAGTCCATCTTCTGTGTTACCCACACTGACACGGCTAGCTAAGTGATCTAATCATCCATGAGAGGGAAAAAAAAAAAAGACTTTCTGGAATTTGGTACCAAGAATAGTACTTGTCTAAAGAATGACATACTTCCTTCCTCTTACACCACCTTCCCATTTGGCTGGATTGTAATTTGTCACAGGCAGGGAGGGGCTTGTCTCCCTGTCCTTTTTACCTGCCCACAGTCTGGGTGCCAGAAAGGAATCTGAATTCCCCCCCATCTATGGAAAACTGGAATCAACAACTCCCCACCCCGCCCCCTACCTTGTGGCAGTTTTCACATCTAGAGCCTGGGTGGGTTTGTAAGGCTGGCCACAGCCAGGGCTCGGGTCCAAGCTGGGTGACTTCGTTATTGGAGGGGCGTTGATCCTGGAGCTCAGATCACCACTCAGAAAGTTCTTTGCGTAGGAGGCCAGGTTTGGCACGCTGACCACTCGGCTGGGCACTTCCTCCAGCTTCTTTTTCTGGTTGTATTAAAAGAAAGGCCAGTTAGTTCCACCCTAACGAGTCATTATTGTAAGTAAAAAAGGCCCACCCAACCAAAACTATATGGGAGAAGAGGCAGTAATTTTATTTATATACCTACATGTTATTTTTAAAGCATTTCTTCCTCCAGTCTGCTTTGTTTTATGAAACACAGGTTCACAATCTCTTGCCCAAAACCTCTGGGGACATGTGTTTGGTAATTCAAATTTTTTTTTTTTTTTTAGACATTAGAAGGCCATATAAGACCCCCAACAGGAGCTGGGTCCATTGTCTTCAAATGCATTAATATTTCTGCAGTGAAACAACACTTTCACTGAGAGGCATACATAAAAATCATAAATGAACTCACATCTGTTCAGCTTAGGGTAGGTTTACTGTCCTTTGAACTATTAAACATTTTAAGCACTTTTAGGATTTTGTTACAGCAGATGAGAGATTTGGATGTGAATATTCTCATTATAACAAATTCCAAAAATATGTAATGAAAAAAAGGAAGTGGGAGATTCCTGGGGCTCCTGGGTGGCTCAGTTGTTGAGCATCCAACTGTTGATTTCAGCTCAGGTCATGAACTCATGGTTCGTGAGTTCGAGCCCCGTGTCAGGCTCTTGCTAACAGCACAGCAGCACAGAGCCTGCTTGGGATTCTCTCTCCCTGCCTCTCCCCTACTCAGTACTGCACTCGCTCCCACTCTCAAACATTTTTTTTTTAAATTTTTTTTTCAACGTTTATTTATTTTTGGGACAGAGAGAGACAGAGCATGAACGGGGGAGGGGCAGAGAGAGAGGGAGACACAGAATCGGAAATAGGCTCCAGGCTCCGAGCCATCAGCCCAGAGCCTGACGCGGGGCTCGAACTCATGGACCGCGAGATCGTGACCTGGCTGAAGTCGGACGCTCAACCGACTGCGCCACCCAGGCGCCCCTCTCTCAAACATTTTTTAAAAAGTGGGAGATTCCTGTTCGTTTCTCTCATCATCCAGATATAACCATTATTAACAGTGACATGTTTATAGGAAACTCGGAGAATACAAAAACCCATAAGAAATTAAAAGTACACATAATCTGCCTCGCCAGATATAAATACTGTTTGTTAATAATTTGGACCATTCCCCATGAGTCTTATTTTCAGTGGACATTCCTCTGACTGTATGGCAGCACGCCGATAAGTAAGCTGTAGTTACCTTCAGGAAAATGAAACCAGCAGCACTGTAATGCCTGAAATCGGCAGAACCAATTTACCTTCATGGAGGGGGTCAAGTATCCTGGGTGAGGGTTGAAAGAGAAAGACCGGTTCCGATGGGACATGGCGCTGGGGAAGGCTGCACAGTGAAATCTTCTCTCCTCCTGGAAAAACACAACTGAGTCCAAATGAGCCTGACCACACCACTGGGTTTGACCTGAAGGAAGATGGTCGAGTGAGGGCAGAAACCGTGAGGGAAAGCCCAGGGGAAGGGGGGGGATGTGTGGGGATCCAGCAGCCGTCCACTGAAGCTTTGAGGAAGCACTTTAGTCCTGTGGCCTGAGTCCCCAGCTTCTGTATAGGGAAGGGCGAGCTTATTTGAACCGTCTTGGGCAGTTAGAGAACCAGGTACTCTGGGCATCTGAAGGTTAAAAGCTGGTACAATCACTATATCACCAACCTTGTTTATGCGTGTCACTGTCCACTTTTCTCTCTCCTGCTGTATTATTTTTAAAGCAGATTCCAATCATTGTATAATTTCATCTTTAAAAACATCCACATCTATCTCTAAGAGATAAAGACTCTTTAAAAAAAAATAGCACAATTCTCTTGTCACACCTAGCAAACAAGCTATTCCTTAGTATCATTTAATTTTCAGTTAGTGGTGAAGTTTTCCTGTCTCATCAGCATCCTGACATGGAACTGCGTGGCAGGGGCAGGGATGGGAGTGAGAGAGGAGAGGGGTGTGTGTTTGTGGGAGGACCTGAGGCTGGCAGGCTGCCGAAGATCCTGGATTTCACTCGGTGAAGGACGGGAGGCCGTGAGCGGTGCAGAATGGAGCCGAGCTCTCATCTGACACGCTTCCCCAAGACTGCCCTGGTTGATGTGAGGTCAGCGTGCGGGCAAGGCTAGAGTGAGTGGGGAGTGGGGAGTCCAGTTCACTGCGCGTGTGAGAGGGGCTTGCACTAAAGCGGTGGAGGCAGAGACGGGTGGGGAAGGTGGCTGGACTTCTCAGGTGGCCGACTAGCCCTCCCACCGTGGGCTGCACTGACAGGCGCCAGTCGAGAGCCACCGTCTGCAGAGCTGGACGTAAGCCAGGGGAAGCAGCGCCCTCCGGTTCAGCTGGGGTGCTACAAGCAACCTGCCACCAGACCGGGGAGCACGGGGCGGCCGGGTTAGAGCCCAAAGCAATGGATGGAGTATCAGGAGACAGGGATGTGAGGGAGGTGGACTGCGTGAAAGCTCAGGGGCAGGTGGAGGGAGGGGCATTCCAAAGAAATGGCCTCAGGCCTTGGTGGCTGTGGGCTACGGACCCCGAGGGAGAAAACTTCTTCCTAAGGGGCCCCGGGGCGGCTTTGCGAACTGGAAAACAGGTAGTCATTTTTACAAAAGGAAGATCAACAAACAATAACTGGCTTGATTGAGTCTACTAAAATTCCAACAGAAGGCATGCCATTCTGGATTTTCCCAAATTCCATAGATGAAAAAACTGAACCAATCAACCAAGGGCAGATGCTGTAGGACTTGAGTGCTTGGGGGGTGGGGGGTGGGGGTGGGGGCTCTATTTTTCTGTATTAATTTTTTTAGTCAGTATATATTGTTTCAGATAATATACAAAAGTAATCAAGGATCTTCTGAAGGTGGTTTTAGAGTTATCAGGATTAAAATTGCTAGGTAGGCAGAGCAATGGCAAGAACAAAGTGGATGGCCCTCCGGAAGGAACCCCGCAGACCCCCTGGTGGCCCTGACGGCCTCACCATGAGCTGCTTGATGATCTCCTCTCTCTCCTTCAGGCGGGTCTGCAGGCGGCCTATGAGCTGAACGTCCTCTGGCCTGGACGCCCCCTTCCCTGGTTTCTCTCCGGAATCCTTCAGTCTGTTTGGAACAGGCATGCAGTTAGTCTCCTTGCTGCCGTTGCCCAACAACAAGCAGGTGCATGGGGTGGGGACGCTGCTGTGAGCTTAGCCTGGCCAGCTAATGTCTCCGTTCACAAACGGGGAAATGGAGGCCGAGAGACCCTGCCTGGGACCAGCCAGTGAGTTGGCTGCAGAGCTCGGGACCCCAACTCCAAGTCTGACGTCTGCCAGTTACCCCTAGGCTGCGGGGCCAAGGAACCAAAGACCCGTGGGTGATGCACACACTGCCCTCAGTGAAGCTTCAAGAACCAGGGATGCCTGGGCAGAGAGGCCTCGACAGAAAAATGTCCCCCACTGCGGCCTCCCGACGTCTGGGCTGATGCCGACGTGGCTCTGGCGCCATCTGCTGGCCGAAATGGAGCACGGCATGAGCTGGTTCTCCCTCAGAGCTGCGGGCAGCTAGTTCCCCCAGCCCTTTCAGCACGAAGCCAGAGAGAAGTAACTCTGCGCACGGTGGGAGAGGGGGTGAGGGCTGCAGGTGACCTACTGAGTGTAGTTAAGAGGGCCGGGACTTCGGGGTGAGATAACTTGGGATCTAATCCCTACTCTGCCTTGAGGAAAAGGCTAGGTGACCTTGCGTAGCCTTTCCCTGTGATCATCAGTTCCCTATTCTTTAAAAGGGGCACGAAACTGGGTGGTTGTGAGCATTCAGCGAGATAATGGGCGCCTGGCCTGTGGTAAGTGCCCATTAGATGGTAGCTGATAAAACCTTTCACTCTGGATTCTGGATGGTTTGCTTTGTACTGGAGACAGTGGAGAACATGTTTTTAAGAGCACAGACAGGTAACAGATTCACTCAGTGCGGCTTGACCTTGGGCAGGTGACTTTACCTGTCATCTTCCACCTCCGTGCTGCTAACCCTGACCCCCTAGTCTCTTCTCTCAGCAGCCAGAGTGACCTTATTGAAAGGTAAACCTGACCATGTCATTCCTGCTCAAAGCCTTGCAATGGCTTCCAGTGCACCCTGAACACATCCAAACTCCTTCCTGTTTAGTGCGGGTCTCCTTCATCCCTCCCAGCTAGCCCACCAAAATCTCAATGCCTGCCACTCACCCTCTCACTTATTCCTGGCTGTTCAGTCATGTGAAGCAGGCCCCAGGGCCATTGTACTTGCTGTTGTGTCCACTTGGAATGTTCCTCCTCCAAATGGCTCTCTCATTCCCTCGCCTCCTTGCGCTTAAATGTCACCTCCTTAGACAGGCCTTCCTTGCCCACCCTTGCCACTCCCTAGACACTGATCCTGTTTTTCTTTTAGCACTTCCAATACCTGATATGAAAAATATTCATCTGTTTACTTCTTGCCTGAATCCCCATCGAGAATTTTTGAGCTCTATGAGAGCATGGTCTTTGTTTAGTTCTGGCTGTAACTCCAGGCACACAGTAGGCTCTTAATAAACATCTGTTGAATAAGTAATAAAGATGTATGCATACAGGCACAAGACCACCTCGGTTTCTTTATCTGTCCATGAAGGAGACTGTGAAGATTCAGTGAGGTGATGCATGTTAGAATGGGGCAAATGTTCATTGAAAAGTAGACTTGATCCCGTGATTTCTTCCCAGGGTGAGGGGTCAAACCAAGCCCATAAGGCAGTGTTCATTCCTCACAGATTCCCAGTGCCCTGCACGGAGAGAATGCAATCTCATAAAATGATGGGCGGTAACGAACTATCCCCAATTGCCCAGGACCGAGGTGCTTCTTGGAACTCAGAACTTGTAGTTTTAAAACTGGGAGCGTCCCAGGCACAGTGGGATGAGTTGGTCGCCCTAATAAAATGTACCTCTACAAGTCCCTCCTAACCTGGGGCCCAAGGCCTCACTTACTCAGTTTCCAGGGCAGCCAGCCGGGCCTGGAGCCTGGCTTGTGCACTGCTGAAATCCGCCACCATGGCCTGCATCTCCTTCCGGTGTTCCTGGCGTAGCTTCTCCACCTCCCGGGCCCGTTGGGCTTGCTGATCCTCCTCCAGCAGCCTGTGGGTGGAGGGAAGCACAGCCGGGCTGGCCCAGGCTCTAGGGACTGAACCTCTTGGGCACTGGGGTTTCTCCCCGCTCTGCTGGGTGGCTGGGGTGGGAGGCAATGGGCGGGGGTGGTTCTGAATGAGGTCAGGATGCTGGGAAGGAGACCTGGGATCTCTTGAGTTGTGGGGTCCAGGATAAACCCTGCTTGTGGGACCCCTTCTCAGCACCTCCTGTCCCAGCATCGCATGAAGGAGAAACCAGACTGTAAAGCCTTCAGGGGCAAGCAGTGGAGGACAGCTCTGGAGGGTTCTGGAAAATCCTCCCTTCACGAGGGGCAAATGGAGGCCTGGAGGCTGAGATTGTGTATCGGAATTACTGATCCTTGGGACTCTGAGGCCTGGGGAGTCACCAGTCCAGTGTTGAAAGGCAGGGAGGGATAGGGGGTAGGTCTTCCTCCATCACTTCCTAGCTGTGTGACCTAAGGCAAGCCACACCCTGCTCAGTTTCTTCACCTGTTAAATGGGTGTGATGATAGTGGCTACCTTACAGGGTTAGTGCAAGGATGAATCATGCTAACACATGTCCAGAACAAAGTAACAGCGGTTCACCCAGCGCTTCCTCCATGCATTCCGGGGCAGGTGCTAAATCCTGCTCACATGTCACTGCATTCCAGGACGGCCCTGAGAGGTGGCGGTGTTACCTCCTTCGCGGATGAGGGCGGGGGCGTGGAGAAGCTAGCGGACTCGCCTGAGCTCACACGGCACCGCTTGAGCTATTTCACGCACTGCCTCCCTAAGGCTGGCTTTGAAGGGACTTCTAGTACGGTAAGGTCTGATCCCAGAAATTCTTTGATTTGTAGGAAACAGAGTTCCCTCCTCTATCCCAGGGCAAACCCTGCAGTTTTGAGACGAATTCCTAGAGCACTGGTCCTTTTCATGAGACGGGAGTAACATCAGGGAAGTGCTAGCGTGTTAGGGAGTCTTTCCTTTGCGGAGAAGCCCAGGGGGTGAGCCTTAGGTTCAGAGGCTCGCCCCGGGGCGCTGGAGGGAGCCAGGGAGAAGGGAGCTCCGGCCCCGCCCGGAGACCGACCTGCGCTGCTCGCGGAGCTGTAGCGCCTCCTGCTGATGCTGTTCCACCTCGGCCCGCAGCCGCTGCACTGCGTCCTTGAGCTGCGAGTTCTCCTCCCAGGGGTCGCAGCCCTCGCTCGGACCCGGCTCCGCGGCGCCCTTCGGGGAGCCCGCCTGGCCCGGGCCGCCCGCGTCCTGGGGAGAAGCACCCGGGAGAGGCGTTTTCAGGAGGCGCCAAGGGCCCCAGATGCGCCGCCGAAGGACGGGGACCCGTGCTCCGCCCAGCCTGGAGCCCTCACCAGCCTCCTGCTCCCGATTGAGGAGCTCACATCCAGGCTCTTCAGGTTTTCCCGCTTTCCGAGTTGGCCAGATCCGCCCTCACAAAGCCTAATAACGTTGGTGAGCCAGGAACGTGACTCAAGGCAAGCCAAACACTCCACCCAGAGCGCCCTCCCCACTTCAACAGCACTGCCTCGGGGAAGAAGCGACAAGCCCGCTCTCCTCTGCTATCACCGAATCCCGATCCCGTCTGTGGAGCGATTACACCGAAGTGCGCTCATTTGTTTAATGGTGGTCTCCTCCACTAGCCTGGGAGGGCTTCCCGAAGGCACCGTCTCCCCTCGAGTTTTCCAATCTGATGGCACCTGGCTCGGGGGCTGGGATCAGAAGGGCCAAATAAATGTTTGCTAAATGAAATGATACTTGAACGCCAGTGGTTCAGATAGAAATTCAAAAATCTATGTCCAAATGAAATGGGGTCAGAGTTAACCCCTGGTTAGTGAATGTTACAGTTTTCAAGTTCACTCAAACATGCCTGAAGGTTTCTGCGTTTGTTTATTCCACACAGAACAGCTTTGCACAGGGAACATCTGTGGCCCATGCCCCACACCTCTTGCTTCCTGCCCTGGGCTTGTGTGTGTGTGACACCCATGGGCACGTGGGCACCTGGCACTCACCTGGTTGGTTAAGGTCCTGGGGGGCCATGGTTAGAGCTTGGTAAAGGTCCTGGGGTACCCAGGAGCTTGGTTAAGGTCCTGGGGGGCCATGGAAGAGCTTGGTTAAGGAAGAGCTTGGTTAAGGTCCTGGGGGGCCATGCTTGACTAATGGGAGAAAGAACCTGCTGGATAAATGCATCCCCCTCTGTCCCAAGCTGGGACAGGTCTGAGGATGATGTCACAGGGCTCCTCGGAAGATCCCAGCAGGTGGGACACCACTTACCTGCAGTGGTGGCCAACTTAAGGACGCATCCTTGTACCGGGTACCCTCCCTTCCGTCTTTCACTCGTGCTGCCCAGGGCTGCTTTCCTCCTGGCTCACGCCCCCACCTTTCTTCTCTGTGTGGGTTTTCATCTGAGGCCCTGCTATTCCTCCCAGAGGGGTCAGGGCTTCCCTCCAATGAGGTGAAGGTGAAGGCTGGCACCTGGTGGCCGGGTGTCATCCCACCCATCCAAGGATCCATAGCACTTGGGGAGGGAGTTTGTCATTGCAGACGTCACGACCCCACATTTCTCCTGCCCCCTCCCATAGGTACGGGTGGCTCCCACCAATCTAGAATGCTTACTGGGGCACACTCTGTCTTCCCTCTGCTAGACTTTACTGACTGGGCTGAGCTCCTTGTGAGTCATCATTTAAATTTCTCATTAAACACAGATTGTCTTCAGGTGCTCAGTACTGGCACAATCCTGAGCAAACGATGACCACGTCCCCCGGATCTTCAGCAGGGCTGGGACATGAACCCACTGTTGGCCACCGCAAACCCTGGAGAAGACTCTCCCATGTGCAGACTTCGGGCAGAGTGCTGAGTGGGGGCAGGGATGAAATGAGGCAGACATGGCTGATTCTTGAAAGACTCCTAATCCAGTTGAGAACATCCATGAAGAACACGCATGATATGCTGGCTCCCTAACAGGGCCATGCGGTAGACACCAGTGCCAGCTGAACTATAACCAGAAGTACTCAGAGACTGGTGGGGTCCCAGGTGTGGAGAGGAGCCCCCTAGAGCTGACTTCGGCGGCACATATACTAAAATTGGAGAGGAGACCACTGGCACAGAGGGTAAGCTGGGCACTGAGGGAGGATGGCATCCCAAGCAGGGAGTGGGCACGTGCAAAGGCCCAGAGGCAGGATGCAGACCCCACGTTGAGAGCAGAAGGGGATACGACTGAAGATATAAAGTGCAGCCAGTGGGTGAAGGCTTTTCCTTGCCAGGCTTAGGCATTTGGAGCTCATTCTGATAGCAATAGGGAGTCTCTGAAGCCTTTATACAGATGAATAGCTGACACCATATGGTACGTGGTGGGCTGAGTGGGGAGAGAGGCCTGGGCTGTTAGGAGGTCACTGTACTGCCAGCCATGTGGGAATATGGATGTACCCGGAAGAGGTTGATGGGCCAAGTCTGACTACGAGGCTCAAAGAGAGTCAATGTTGAACCTCAGTGACAAAAAGGCAGTTCCCACTCATGGCAGCAGACAGGGAGTCTGTCTGGAAAGGTGTTCTGAGACATTCTCTGCAGATTTGAGGGAGTGACCCTGAGTGTCTCCAGGGCCTCTCAGGCAGTGACACTCTGAAATGCTATTGTATCTGCATTAAAAATGACACGCAGCACAAAAAACTTGTGTTCTGCTTTTCAAAACGGGAGCCTACAAGCCCATCGAGTGTCTCCCAGCACCGTGGAGCGAGGCTCTTCCCCATTTCAGACGGGAATGAGGAGCACCCGGGCCCCTCCTTTATGAGTTTCTCTCTGCAGCCTGGACACTGCTCCCAGAGGGGTGCGGTGTGGGCAGAGTGGGGGTGCTGACCTCTGCAGCGACGGCGCGGTCCTCGTGGTCCCCTGGACACTGGGCGGTGGCCTGCGACTTGCCCAAGCTGCCCAGAGCCCTCAGCTCGGCCTGCAGCACCTCCAGGTCTTTCTGGTGCCCAGAGCAGGCGGCCCGCTGCTCTGACAGCTCCTGCCTCAGGGACTCTGCAGAAGGAAGGGCTGTCATTTCTTAAAGAGAAGATGATTTTCAAGGCTAGTAAGTTTGATACTTTCCTGTTACGGACTTTCGAGACTCTGTATTTTAGTTATTGCAAATTAACTTTGGAAACGTCGTTCCAATAATTCCATAAGCCGTAAGATAGCCATAAGATAGTACAGGGCAAATAATACTCCACACACATTTGTTAAATAACCAAGTGATGTTTAGAGTGGAAATTAATGACAGTGTAAAAGCATATCCATTGCAAAACACTTCCCATAAACTTACTTCTCTGAAAGTTAGAGTATATCAAACACAGCAAAGCTTAGTTATTCTGATGATATGTTGAAAATTTTACTTGATCATCTTTCTTCCCCACTAGGATTTTAATATAGTGATTTCTACAGCTTATTTTCTTTAAAAAATCCACACCCAATGCAATATTTTGAAATCCCTTATCACAAAAATATGTGCAATAAGACTCTTTAGCAAAGCATAACTACAGTGGGCTCATTTAGTACCCACTCTCTCCCCTGGCCTCCTTCTCCCTCCACACCCATCCACCTGTCCGTCCAGCATGTCTGGGTCTCCACCCCAGTGTATCAGGTAATCTGATGGACACTCCCTGCGCCTCACACGCTGACCAGCAGGTCAGGTGTGTCTCATACAGACAGTGCAGTAGCTAATCGGGACCAGGAATGTCTAATAACCCCCTGTTGTGGCAGGTGCTCTCACCCACCCAATACCACTCATAAAGCCAGTGATTCGCTCTCACTGTTATAGAGTCCACTCACCCCTTCTTCCTGGGATTGTGTTGAGAATCCCAGCATGTACCCAGGGTCTCTCCTGACTCTTTTGTCCAGGAAAGGACCAGGCTATTGTGGGATCAGAGGGGCCGGGGGACAGGCAGCAGGGACAGCTGCTGTTGGGTGCTGGAATCACCAGGGGTGTCCAACTGGATCTGAATTTTGTCGTGTACCTGAGACATATGGTACACCCTGGGCCTTATCTTGTGTAATCTGCCTCTTTTAGATGCTGCTAACTTTAGCACGTCCCACCTGGACACTAACTGGGGAATCTCTCTCTCTCTCTCTCTCTCTCTCTCTCTCTCTCTCTCTCCTGCCCGCTTCCGCGTCACTTCCTCCAGAAATAGAGCGGATGTGCTGACGTGCAGTCAGCGGGACATGCTGTCTAATGAAAGCTCACCCAAGCAGCAGGTAGATCTTATTCACTTACACAGGTAAAGAAAATGCTCTTCTCCCAAATTCTCTTAAGGAGACCCCCGTCTGGGTGTGAAAAGAAATATTTAGTAAGGCCAATATGATCTTTAATGCTAGGCATGAAATAAGGGGAGGCATTTGTCTTGCTCCTAAGAGTGAGAAAGGCGGGCGCCTGGGTGGCTCAGTTAAGCATCTGACTCTTGGTTTCTGCTCAGGCCTTGATCTCACGGTTCAAGAGTTCAAGCCCTGCATCAGGCTCTGTGCTGACAGTGCGGAGCCTGCGTGGGATTCTCTCTCTCCCTCTCTCTCTGCCCCTGCCCCCCCACTCTCTGTCTGTCCCAAAATAAGTAAATACAATTAAAATATTTTTTAAAAAAGAGAGGAGGAAGATGAGAAAATGAGGGAAAAGTTGATCTACAAAAACAGAAGTTTCTAGGGTCAGCCACATCTGTGTAGCACACTAGGTGGATGCTGTTATTCCCATTTTACAGATGAGCAACTGAGGCACAGCGTAGGTAAGTAACTTGCCTAAAGTCACACAACTAGTGAGTGTTGGAACTGGGCTTCAAGTCCAGACGATTTGACTCAGGAGATCTTTACTGCTTCTGGTAACTTCCAGAATGCTTTGTGTGACTGGTTTTGGATGTGGAAAGAGGAGGTGAGTTTCATGCTGAGGATCATGGGGGGGCGCGCAGGCAAAGGAAACAGAGTAACTACAGGAGTCTGGAGGTGTAAGTTGCCCAGATTTTCAGGAATCTTCCGAACGGAAATGAGAGGTTGAGACAATCCCATGAAACTCTCATGAAGGCTCAGCGATCTGGTTATATTTAATAATAATGATGATGGTGATAATACAGGTGCCTCTACTTTTCAAAAGTTCACTTACAGGGACGCCTGGTTGGCTCAGTCGGTTAAGCATCCGACTTCAGCTCAGGTCATGATCTCACAGTTTGTGAGTTCATGCCCCGCATCAGGATCTGTGCTGACCGCTCAGAGCCTGGAGCCTGCTTAGGATTCTGCACCTCCCTCTCTCTCTCTCTCTCTCTCTGCCCCTCCCCCGTTCGTGCTCTGTCTCTGTCTCTCAAAAATAAACGTTAAAAAATTTTTTTAAACTTAAAAAAAAAGTTCACCTACATTAGAGCCTATTTTCACTAACCCAGAGAAATCTGAAGAGGATTTTAATTTTTATATAACAAAGTGAAAAGCGACAACAGCGTTCACTGCTGATTTTGCAGCGAGAGGTCCAGAGGCAGCGCGCGCCCCCCAGCGCCTTCCGCGGGAACCACACCCAGCATCTCAGGCCCAAGCACCGGGGCTCCGAGCGGTGTCTGTGAGCATCTGGGCTGTTTCTCCATCTATTGTGTTCATCCGTTAGCAAGATGTGTCCTACGGTATGAGGAAAGCCTCAGAGAGGTGATTTGGGGGGCCTGGGAACGCTCAAAATTTCTTCCATTTAAATTAATGGTAATTGCTTCTTCGCTCTTTGCCATTTCGGCTCATGACACGTTTCATAGGAACCCTCTGCTTGGGGATAGCAGAAAACCTACACTACAGTCCGCATTCACTGGGCTCCTGTCATATGCTGGGCACTTTATATTTAATCTCTCTTCAAGTCCACACAACGCCCCTATGAGGTAGGGACAACTGTGACTCCACTTTCCAGAAAAGGAAACTGAGACTGTTAGTGACACCCGCCTCCCAACCCCGGTGTCCCACCCTGACCTGTGTGCCCACAGACCCCCGGGGCTCCATCTTGCCCCAGGTGTCCAGGCGTGAACTCGGCGGGGTAGCCAGGCCCTCCCAGGGGCGGCTGGCTGGCTCTTTACCTAACACGAGAGCCTGCTGAGCCTGCGTCCTCTCCCGCTCTCCCTGGAGCTCCTGCCGGGCCTTTTCTTCCAGGGCCTGGAGCTCCAGCCGGTGCGCCTGGTGCTGGATCTGCAGGCTGTGGCTGGCTTCCTTCTTCAGGCGCTCCTCTGCGGCCTGCAGGGGGGAAAGTGGGAGAAAGTGGGAATAGAGGGGAGACCTGTCCCCTCTGCCAAGTTCTGCCTCTGCACCAGGGCGCACAGAGCACTCACCACTGTTGGGTGGAGGCCTTATCAGGCTACAGAGGACATTCCCCAACCCATCTGGGATGACAGTGACAGCTGGGCCCCAGCAGCCATTTTGTGCCATGTGAACCTGACCCCAAACCACAGCTGATTAGACCAGAGTGGACACCTGTTCTAACCTGAGCCAGTCATTGGGAATTTGGTGTTAGGAGGCCAGGGAGAGAGCGAGCAAGAAACAGACAGACAGACACTGACTGGTTGGTTTGTTTTACCACACTCAGAGGAGTGAGGTGACCATCTCACTCGCACCTGCCCCAGGACCAGAGAGGTGCAGAGAGCTGTGTGTGAGGACAGCCAAAGGCTGAGTGCAGAGCAGAGCAGCAGTGACAGAAGGAGGGGCCCGTATAGCTTCTTCAGTCTCTGGTCTAGTCTGGTCCTCAGAACTGGCTGGGTCTCTGCCTTTAGGTTCACTTATTCTTTTATTACTTACTTCATTTATAATTATTTTATTCATTCAGTCATTCTTTTACTCAACATTCATTTATTGAAACTCTCTTATATATCAAACACCCAAAGTGGGTTCTATGAGCAGCTGTGTAAACTTTAATAGAAATCTCTCCACAGCAAAGCTAGCTCAAGGTGGTTTATGGGGTAGGAACCATGAATGGTCCCTGAGATGTCCAAGTGGGAATCCTTGGAATATGTTACTGGAATCTCTGGAATAATCCCTGTGAATATGTTACTTTACATGGTAAAAGGAGTGTGCAGGTGTGATTTAGTTAAGGATCCTGAAATGGGAGATTATCCCAAATTATCTGGGAGGGTCCAATGTGGACACAAAGGTCCTTACCAGAGGGAGGCGGGAGAGCCAGTGAGAGGAGAGGTGCTAAGAGGAAGCAGAGGGAGAGGGGAGGGGAAGAGGAGTTGGGAGGGTGATGGGGGAGAGGGGAAGGGAGGCGGGTATCGGAAGATGTTCCATGCTAGGCTGCTGGCTTTGATGATGCAGGAAGGGGCCGGGAGCCAAGGAAAGCAGACAGCCTCTAGAAGCCTCAAGAGGCAGGAAAACAGATCCTCCCTGAGAGCTTTCAGAAGGAGCACATTCCTGCCAACACCTTGACCTCCAGAACTGTCAGGTAATAAATCTTTGATGTATTCAGCCACCAATGTGTTACAGCAGCGATAGGAAATGTATTAAGTTTCTGTTTTTTATTTTTCGTTTGTTTGTTTACAACAGAGAATTCCAGTTAAGACACAGCCCACCTTTTAGATGAGGAAATTGAGGCTGGGGGAGATGGACTGGTTTTCGAAAGTCACACAGGAAAGATGCGGCAAATATCGCCTCCCTCCCCCTTTTTAAGAGCCAGCTGCAGGGACTGACCTGACTGCAGACAGGTAAAGTTGGGGGCAGGATCGCAACCTTGGGCGGCAGCGGTCCTGGTCCCAATGAGAAATGGGGTTTCAGCAAAGGCAGGAGGCTCCTGCTGGGGAGCACTGAGCCCGGGCACCCCCAAAGTGGGTTCTACGCGCAGGGCAGCTAGCTGAATGCAGCAGGGCCTCCAGATGCTTACTTGTGCCTTTGGCTTCCTAGAAACGGGACCGGTTTTACTCCTCCCATGGGAAACTCAAACGGTGCTGAGTTTATTTAATAAGAAAGAAGAGTCTCCTGCTTTTCAGACTCTGATATTTCCTCCTCCTGCACTTGCTGCAAGGCTCAGAGAACTCCAACTGGTGGCATTTTTATCCCAAGGGAAATGGGAACCGAGAGGTATGAGCTAAGGCTTGCCTAAGACCGTGCCAAAGTCTCTCAGTCTGTGACCCAGGCCCTCTGTGCCTGGGGGCAGTAGCCCTTAGCAGTGAGGACTAAGCAAAGTTTAGCACCCAGGGTTTTATCAAACTGGACCCTCATCCCTGGTGAGTTGCTCCAGTAAACCTATGGGAAGTTTACTCTGCTTTTGCTGTGGTCAGTTTAGAGCCGCCCCAAAGGCCCATTTTCACCCTGTCTCTCTGTAGAGAGAGGTTCTGACACCAATTACAATGTACGTGGGTGGTGGGGGGTGTGGGTTCCCTACCCCAACAAGCAATGATCGAAGCCCAAGTGTCCCACAATTCAACTCAGTCCTGACACTATCTACCCGGAGACAGCAGCAGGTCCCATGGGGTGAGAGCTCAGTCCCACAAGACCGCCCTCCTTTCAGGTAACTATTCCAAGACTAGGTTGTTACCTGTGCTTCTGACCAACTAGCTTTAAGTCAGAGGTTCCCATGACCCCCTCCCTGAATTCGATTAACTTGTTGGAGTGGCTCACAGAACTCAGGAAACCCATTTACTTACTAGATTATCGATTTATTGCAAAGGATATTAAAGGATATGAATCAACAGCCAGATGAAGAGATATGCAGGAAGAGGTCTGGGACGGTCCCAAGTGCAGGAGCTTTTGTTCCCAGGGAACTGGGGTGTGTCACCTTTTTGGTACTTGGATGTGTTCACCCACCTGCAAGCTCTCTGAGCCCCCTCCTTTTGGGTTTCTAAGAGGGTTCATCACATAGACATGATTAATTAAATCATTGGTCATTTGATTGATTGGATCTCCAGCCTCTCCCCAGAGGTCAGGGGTGGGACTGAAAGTTCCAACCCTCCAATCCTAAGGTTGGTTCCCCTGGCCACCAGCTCCCCAACCCTCAGGTGGGGTCCAGAAGCCACCTCCTTAACATAACAAAAGATACCTTAGCTCCTCTCATCACTTAGGAAGTTCCAAGAGTGTTAGGAGCTCTGTGTCAGAAATGAGACTAAGACTAAATAATATTTCTTTTTATAAATCACAATATCATTCTTTCCATGCCCCATCCTGGGTAAAGTCTCCTTTCCCTGTGCTCCCCAAATACCTTGGGCAACTGCCTCATAGCTCCAACTCACTGAATTACGGCAGCCTGTTTGAGTGGTTGCCTTTCCCCCTAGAGGTGAGCTCCATAAAGACAGGAGTGTGTTATCATCTTGGAATCTCTGGAGCTCAGCACCGTGGTAGTTTGCGGTCACTGCTCAATAAGTAACTGCAGAATCATGAGTGAGCAGTGACAGGGGATCTTCAAAAACTTGAGCTCTGCTATAGAGAGGATGTTTATACCTCCCATCCCCCAAATTCATATGTTGAAACCTGATCCCCAAAATGATGGTATTAGGGGTGGAGCTCCTGGGGGTGATTAGGTCAACGATGGTGAAGCCCTCATAAATCAGTGCACCTGTAAAGGATGTCCTAAAAAGCTCCCTGCCCCTACTCCCATGTGAGGTGACAGCAAGACAGGTGTCTGTGAACTAGAAAGTGAGCTCTCAATAGACACTAAACCAGTAGGTGCTTGGTCTTGCACTTCCAGCCTCCAGAACTGTGGGAAATAAATTTCTGTTGTTTACAAGCCACTCAGTCCATGGTATTCTGTTACAGTAGCCTGAATGGACAAAGACAAGCTCTTAGCCACATATGGTTCTAAGTACTTGACATGTATTATCTCTTTTGATGCTCTCAATGGTCCTATTAGCTATTATTTGATAAATGAGCAAACTGAGGCACAAAGAAGCTGAGTGACTGCCTGAGCCCACACTTCATAAGTGGTAGACCCAGGATTTGAACGCATGCATCCCAGCCTTCATCACTATCCTGTCCCAGGAATGACTATGTATCTGCTATTTCATTCTTTTTTTTTTTTTAATGTTTATTTATTTTTGAGACAGAGAAAGAGGGAGAGAACATGCAAGTGGAGGAGGGGCAGAGAGAGTGGGGGGGGGGTGTGTGTGCAGAGGATCCAAAGCAAGTTCTGTGCTGACAGCCCGATGCGGGGCTTGAAGTCACAAACTGCAAGATCATGAGCTGAAGTCTGACAATCAACTGAGCCACCCAGGCGCCCCTCTATCTGCTATTTCTAATTAGAATTGGAACTTGATTTCTTTGGTGTCATTTGGAATCATGAGATTTGAGCCAGCAACAAGGACCCCGTGAGCCTGCAGGGTCTCCAGGGACTGGAACTAAGAACTGCAGGATATCCCCCTCTCCCGAGGCCAGACCTCACATGTTCCTTCTTCCAATCAACCAAAGCCCCTGGAACTTCTCCTCCCCACCAGTGGGCCATGCCTCCCTGCTTCCTCTGCCTGAAATCAAGGGTCAAGGTCTGCAGCCTGAATGGGTAAAGTTCAGGAAAACACAAAGGCCAGAATTACCCACCACCTAACAGCCTAGGATCTCAGCAACCTGAGCTCTTGTAAAAGAAGAAAGAGAACTCACATTTTTTGAACACCTGCCAAGTGCCAAGTAGTTTCATTTTTCTTTTTTTGTTAAAGCTTATTTTGTATTTTTATCAGGGCAATGAATACACATGTATAAAGGGCTAAATAGTATTAAAAGTAAGGAAAACCAGCATCTTGGAATCCTCCTTTTCCTCTCTGCCCGCTGTTCTCTGGAGGCCGCCAATGACAACTCTTCTCATTGCTTCTTCTGGGATTTACCACCATCACCAGACTAGAATCTCCATTCTGCTTCATCTGAGTTGTTTTAGACATTAGGAAGTATCTTCCCATTAGGGTAGATGAGGATTTCAGGTCTTATACACTCTCCCCCTTCCATTCCTCATATTTAATTAAATTACTTTTTCAGTATAGTGACAGAAATTCAATACCTTTATTATTATGAGTAAATACAGTTCATTCCCAAGTGAAATAAACTATAATGATTAAAGCCTACCTGCATAACTTTTTCTTTTTCCTTGTATTAAAATCACTTGCTTAGCTTTCTTCGCTAAGCTTAAAAAACGTTGCTTAGCTTTCTTTGAATATTTGGCTAAAACTTCCTATAACATCTAAAAGCTTTGTAAAACGTGTGTGTGTGTGTGCGTGTGTGTGTGTGTGTGTGTGTGTGTGTGTGTGTTGGGGGGCTCCTGGTGCTCAATTGGCTGAGCATCCGACTCTTGATTTCAGCTCAGGTCATGGTCTTGCGGTTCATGAGATGGAACCCTGTGTTGGGCTCTGTGCTGACAGCATGGAGCCTTCTTGGGACTCTCTCTCTCTCTCTCTCTCTCTCTGCCCTTCCCTGCCTCATATTCTCTCAAAATAAATAATAAACATGAAAAAAAAATCCAAAAACCCACATGTGTGTGTGTGTAAACACTGCCAATACAACTTTCCACGTGGCCAAGTTGATCAGAGAATCCATCAGTTCTATTTTCCCCCAGAGCCCTTCTCCCGGGACCTCAGTCCTCTTGCTCCAGCCCACACTGAGTAGTGTCTCAGCCAGCAGCATAGCTGAGCTCCTCCCTTTTCCTTCTCCTACACTGGATTCCTCTATCCTAGATCTCTCTTATTCCCTCGTCCTTGGTTTGCTCCCTTGTTTTTGTGGGCCACTCTTCAAGAAACTTCCTAAGAAAAAGTGCATGGAAGGTATACCAGTCTGGGTCCAACAGGAGACAGAAACCACACAGTATTTTAAGTTGGAGAAGCTCAATATAAAGAACTATTGCACTATGACAGGGGAGTAACTCTAGAGATGCAAAGAGAACTCCAGGTGTCCTGAGGCTGAGAGAGAGCACCCAAGACAAGGATAACTTGGAAGGGGGGAGTCCCTCCCCAGTTTGGGTCCAGACCTTGTTGGAGAAGGCATACTGGCAGCTCACTGGTGGAGAAGATCACTGGGCTGCCCAGTCCAGAGTTGGTCAAGCAAGAACAACCCTCCATGGCACAGATGAGCCACAGTTGGTGATGCTCAGAGGACATGGGGGCACCATGAAGGCATGAGGGCCAGAGCAGACAGTATTTTTCTCAGGGGGCTTGCACAGAACGATCTCTGGGCTATAGGCAACAGTGGACATTGGCAGGATCCCAGGGAGAGTCAGGGTGTGTACGCGTGAGGGCTGGAGTGTGTTGTGTCCACAAGGGGAGGCCACAGGAAGTAGTCACTGGCCATGGTTGTGGGGTCACTGCGAGGTTACAGGGGCAGAGTAACACCTGATGTCCTCGCACGGCCACATCACTGTTCAACTGTGCAAATGAAGCCAGAAACAAAGCAAAAACACAGCTGCCAGAACCAGGAAGAGAAGCCTCTTTCCTCCTACAAGGGGCCTCCAGCGCCCTCTACTGACAAAGCTTAACACTGAGCCCTCTGCAAAGGAGAAAGGCTTCAAGAATCTGGTCATTATTTCAGGACAAGCACTGAAGAATGAATTGGGAGCTGAGAGGCAATAAATTGATAACAGAAGGTAAATTTCCTAATACTTCATATCCCAGTAAATATCTGTAATCAATTCTCACACTTATGAATAGTTTTAATTAGATTTCTCAAAATCGCCCGTTGGCTTCTAGCTTCTTGTGTTGGCTGTGGAGATATCTGATGACGTTCTGATTCAAGTACTTTGTGCCTGGTATCGCTTTTCCGCATTAGAAGCTTTGGAATTGCTTCTGTTTCCCTGGTGTCCTGAAATTTCAAGAAGAACCTCGGTAGGGGTCCTTCTCATATAGGTCTAAGGATTTCATTGTTTCTTTGAAAATACTCTCCCCTCCATTATCTCTTTCTGGAACTTCCATTTGTTAGATATCAGGGTCCTAGCTGACATCTAGTCTCTCCATTTCTTGTTCCTTCTCCTCCATCATCCATTTCATGTTCTTTCTATCTTTGCTTTCCAGAAAGTTTCTTCATTTTTTACATTTCAAATCGTTTCTTGATTTTTAGAAATTCTGACATTATATATACAATATAAAGAGCTCTTCCTTACTCTAATTTCCCCTCCTTTACAAATAGCATGTTGTTCTTGTTTCACGGATGCAAATATCATCTTTAATTCTGAGGAGATCAATCCTCAGAAGCTTTTTTTCCTCTTTTTCTTCTGACTGCATTAACCATTTCTTCTGCATCTTTTCTTTCTCCCTCCATAATCTTGGATTCCAACTTCCATGTTAGTGGCTTCCAAAAAAGTGTAACTGTCGTTTCATATTTTAGATGGAGCACTGAAAGCTACTGGGTGGTGGGCTCCCTCTGGAGGTTGACCAGATGGCCAACCAGCAATTTTACTAGAGGCCCACAAATGTGAGAATCTACAGGTCTTTTCTCCAGGACGGTTTAATTTCTCCAGAGAAGGTTCTTCAGTCTCCTACTTAGGGGGTCTAAGTTCTAGTTACTTGCCTTCTGGAGCTGAGCAGGAGAATGTACTTCTGGGGACAGGACAGAGGTGGCAGCAGCCTGTCTAATGGCTCAGTATACAGATTCTCACCTACACCTGTTCTCAGACCCAAGCCTCACCCCAGCCTCTGTGACTGGTATTTCCTAATTCAGAGTCTCTCTGGCTTAGTTTATCCAGGCGTTTCCTTTGGCTCAGGTCATGAACTCATGGTTGGTGGGTTCGAGGCCCGTGTTGGGCTTTGCACTGTCAGTGCAGAGCCTCCTTGGGATTCTTTCTGTCCACCCCTCCATGACCCATGCTTTCTCTCTGTCTCTCAAAATAAATAAATAAACTTAAAAAAAAAAACACTTGAGACTTTAATTCAGTGAGACACTTTACTAACCAACTATTGTGAAGTAGGTGAAGAATCAGTGATGAACAAATACAGATGGCTCCTGCCTCAAGGAGCTTCACTTAGTAGATCTGCTCATATAAAAAAGTCATTTGTTAGTGCATGCAGACTGCCATGACCAAGGAAGACCAAGGTGACATAGTAGGAGACTCAGCTCCTGAGAGAGCAGGAGGTAGGAGATCGATGAAAAGTGCTCCTGCTGGATTACACATTGTCGTGGGCCTGACCACCTCATCCCAACTTTCCAAGCTGTCCTCTCTGTTCTTACCTCTGGGCCAAGCCTGCCTCTCCCAGCATACATCACACACGACATTGCCCAAGTCATAAAGAAAGTAGTTCTCATGTTATCAAGATCACACGTGAATAAGGAGAAGCAGTACAAGAAGCATAACAGAACCCATGTGTGAATCCTTCCTTGGCCACTTACTAGTCGTGTGACCCTAAGTAAGTTAATAAATCTCTCTGAACCTTTTTCCTCATCTGAAAAAAGGGGCCATAACAGTAACCTTGTAGGATTCATGTGGGGATTGGAGATAATGTACAAAAGGAAAGGCACCCCATGTAGTGCATAGCAGGTGCTTGCATAGCGAGCGCTCAGTAAATAGTGGCTTTCATAACTATCACCCTTACCTTGAGTTCTTGATTTTTGGCCTTCTCAAGCATGCGCAAGGCTCGCTGGTGGGAGGCCTCGAGCTGGGCTTTCATGGCCTGGTTCTGCTGAACGGTCTCCTGGAGCTCGTGCTGCAGCTTCTCCCTTTCGTGGTCGGAGAGTTGCTTGAGCTCCTGCAGGTCCTCCCGGTAGCTGCTGGCACACTGCTCCAGAGCCTGCTGCATCTGGGAGACCTGCCCGCCAGGGCATCCTGCCCTCAGGCTAGCTGCCCTCCCTCCCCCTTCCTGGGATATTTTAAAAAAAATAAGTGTTCTGAGCATCTCAACCCAGCTGAGCCTCCTTTATCTGTGGGAACTCTGAGGAGGGCACCTGTAACCTTGAAACACCTGGGGATGGCCAGTCTCCGGGGGGCTTCCTGGCTAGAGTCACAGATGCCAGGTGAGAGGGGCAGGGGGGTTGGGATGTAAACTATCCAAGAGAAACCAAAGAGGGGACCACTGAAGTCTTCTCTGACAATCCCATTTAGTATTACCCCCCCCCCCCCGCCGCCCATCACCAGATAGCCTCTCAATCCTTCTTATCGTGTTCTGCTTTTCCTTTTTCCTGAAACCCTATCATCCTCTTAATACACCATGAGCTTTACTTAATTCGTATGTCTAGTATTTACAGTCTGTACCCACTTCCTCTACTGTAATATAAACGCTGTCATGCAGGACTTTTGTTTAACTTGTTCACTGATGTATCCCAAGCATCTAGAAGGGTTCCTGGCTCATGGCAGGTACTCATGAGCCACAGGATGTGTTGAATGAATGAATAAATGAATGAATGGATGAAGCCAAGAATCCCACCTTGCCCTGACCCGGAATGCCCTCCCCATGAATCAGTCCTTGCATGTATTTCCAAGGCCGTCTGTAGGGATGAGAAGGAGGCAAGGTCTCCCTCAGAGTGAGGGCACCCCCCCCCCCATGGCTGTCCTACCTGGGCTTGCAATCTGGCCTTCTGGCTTTGCCACTCCTCCTGCAGACGCTGGATGTCGGGTGCCTTCTCCTCCACCAAAGAGCTCAGTGGAGGTTGCAGGCCATCTCCTTCCTTGAGGGGCACTTTGATCCTTTGAAGAGAGAGAGGCCCAAATCACACAAAGTCCTGGGTGGAGAATGACGTGACCACCTCGGGCTGGGAGAGGGGACCTGCCATGGCAGTGAGTGGGGTGAGAAACATTTTCCTTGGCTTTAAAAAGTAACCTGACACACAGTTCTAAGTGTTATCACAATTCTCAGTTATGAGTTACTTATGGGGCCCTTGGAAGCTCCAAAAAAGAGGTCTCTATGGCCTAATTTCACAACTCTTCCTGAAGATGAAAAAAAAAGAAATAATAATGCTTTACTTGAATACAGCACTTTACACTTTTCAAAGCATGCTCATACCATTTATTGACGGTCCTAGGAATACATAGGAGGATTGCAAAGAGGCCTTTACATATACAGCACGAACAAGAAGATGCTGGGTTACAGCTGCAGGAGTTTCTGTGTTCCAGGACAGATGCTCAAGGAGGTCTTTGGAGCAGACCTTCCTTTACTTAATGCTGAACTTTTAAACCAGCAGAGAAATTCAAATATAACTGACTGCGAACTGGGATTTTAAGTATTTATCCTGTGTAGCGGTGTGAAAGAATGCCATGCCGTGGGCATCTCTGCAGAGATTGCTAGGATGTAGGTGGAGTTTTCTCCTTCCAGCAAGGACATTAGGCCAGAGGACCAGAGGTTAAGAGGGGAGGGCCCTTATCTGGGAAGAAAGGCATTGAGAAGGGGGAACTGTGGCTTGGCAGAGGCAGGGAGGCCCAGCAACATGGGCACAAGCTGGGGGGTAAAGGAATAGAGAGTCAGCAGGGACCCCTGAAAGGGAAGACAGGAAGCCAAGAGCAGCACAGCAATGTGGTTCAGAGCATGAACTGGAACCAGATTCCCCAGAGTCAAATTCAGTCCTACTGTGGACCAGTTATGTGATGTTGGGGGAGGCCTTTAAACTATCTGGGCCTAAATTTCCTCATCTGTAATATGGGGTTAGTAATGGTAACATTCACATGGAATGTTGTAAGGATTAATAGAGTAAATATCTTTTAAAAACTTAAAACCATGTCAGGCACATAGTAAGAATTATATAAAGAATTAACCAAACACTTAGCAAAGAGAGGTTTCTTTCTCTGCATTCTGGTTCTTTTAGGTAATCCTTTAAGCTTTTGAGGATAACTACCTTGAAGGAGAAACAAACAGAAGCCTCCTGGGTCTGAGCTCTGGGTATGAAACAAACCAAGGATTAGGAGACCGTCAGAAGGGGATCAGCAGAGAAGAGGCCTCCAGCAAGAGTGAGAAGCCATGTGACCACGTTGGATATGTGGACCAGGTTAGCTCACCCTGACGACTCCTGAGGAGGACACTGGACTTCCTCCCAGGGCTCAGCTATTATTTTTGAAATGATTTATTAAAAATTTTTTTACATTTATTTATTTTTGAGAGACAGAGCACAAGTGGGGGAGGGGCAGAGAGAGAGGGAGACACAGAATCTGAAACAAGCTCCAGGCTCCAAGCTGTCAGCACAGAGCCCAACGTGGGGCTCGAACCCACAAACTGCAAGATCATGACCTGAGCCGAAGTCAGACGCTCAACCGCTGAGCCACCCAGGTGCCCTGAAATGATTTATTGAGATAAAATTTACATATAGTGAAACAGATCTTAAGTCTACAATTCAATGAGTTTTGACAAATATATACAACTATAAAACCAACAGTCCAATCCAAATCTAGGACGCTTTCATTACTCCAAAGCTCCCCTTGCACCCTCTTCTTGCCAATGTCCACTCACAGGTAGCCAGTGTTTTGACTTCCATCACTACAGAATACTTTTTCCTAATCTTCAGCATCATACACATGGAATCATATGGTATGCATTCTTCTGTCTGGTTCTTTTTCTCAACACGGTGTCTCCAGGATTCACCCACGTTGTTGAGCCTATCAGTGGGGCACACTTTCGTGGATGAGTAGTGTTTCATTATGTGAATATGCCGCAATTTGTTCACCCGTCTTCCTACTGATAGACATGTTGAGTCATTTACATTTCCGGGCTATTGTGAATAAGGCTGCTAGAAATATTCCTGTACAAGTATTTTCGTGGATCTGTGTTTCCATTTCGTTTGCTTCAAGACCTAGGATGGGAATTGCTGGTAGATGTATGACTAACTTTTTACAAAACCATCGAATGGTTTTCTGGGGTGGCTGCACCATGTTATGCTCCCACCAGCAACGTACGAGAGCTTCAGTTGCTCTACATCATTGCTGATGTTTTGGGTCTTCGGTCCTTTTCATTTTAGTCTTTCTGGTGGGTGTGAAATGGTATCTCACTGTAACTTTAAGTTGCATTTCCCTGATGACTTTGATGTGAAACACATAGTCATGTGCTTATGGAACTGTTTTTTGGACGTGTCTGTTTCTTGTAATTAAAAAAAATTTGTTTTAAATGTTTGTTTATTTTTGAGACAATGCAAGAGACAGAGTGCAAGTGGCCAAGGGGCAGAGGGAGACACAGAATCTGAAGCAGGCTCCAGGCTCTGAGCTGTCAGCACAGAACCTGACGCGGGGCTTGAACTCATGAACCATGAGATCATGACCTGAGCCAAAGTTGGATGCTTAACTGACTGAGCCACTCAGGTGCCCCTGTTTCTTGTAATTTTTTAATGGAAGTGTCTGTTCAAGCATTTTATCCACTTACAAATATATTTATCTTTGCTATTATTGATTTATAGGAAGTCATTATATACTTTGGATACAGACTGGATAACTTCTCTGAGCTTGTATATTTATTTTCTTAACAGTACTTTTCTAGTGAGCAGAAATTTTAATTTTGATGAAGACCAATTTATCAATTTTTTCTTGGATGATTAGTGTTTTCATGTCCTAAAAAATAACTGCCTATTTCAAATTCAATGATAATTAAAAAAGGACACATCTTTATTTGGGGGGATACGGCTAATGAAGGGAAGTTCTTCAACCTGAAAAAGATAATCTATGATAAACTACAGCAAACATACTTAATGGTGAAATGTTGAACACTTTCCTCCTAAGATTGGAAACAAGGCAAAAATTCTGCTCACACTACTTGACATTGTCCTGGCCAGTCCTATAAAGTAAGAAAAAGAGCTACAGGTGAGAAAAAGAAGAGTAAAAATGTTTTTATTTACAGACAGAATGATAGTGATTGAAATACTCCATGTTGTTAAGATGTTAGTCTACTCTAAAGTGAACTACAGAGTTATTTTTTTATTTTTTAATTTTTTTCTTCTTTTAATGTTTATTCATTTTTTGAGAGAGAGAGAGAGAGAGAGAGAGAGAGCGAGAGAGCAAGCACACAAATGGGGGAAGGACAGAGAGAAGAGGGAGACACAGAATCCGAAGCAGATTCCAGGCTCTCAGCTGACACAGAGCCTGATGAGGAGCTTGAACCTACAAACCGCAAGATCATGACCTGAGCCGGAGTTGGGCGCTTAACCCACTGAGCTACCCAGGTGCCCCTGTACTATAGATTTAGTTCAGAATACAATCCTAACAGCCTTATTTGTAGAAATAAATAGGCTATTTTGACTACTGATGTGGAATGGTGAAGGACCTAGAAAAAGAAAAAAGAATCTTAAAGAGCAAAGTTGGAGGAGGCCGGCTACACTGATTCCAAGACATTATGAAGCTAAAATAATACAGACTGTATGGTATCAATGTACAGATAGACAAAGAGATCAATGAAAAATAATGCAGTGTCGGAAACAGATGCATGCAAAGATGTTAGATTCATTTTTGCTAAAAGTGCTGAGGCAATTTGGGGCACCCGGGTGGCTCAGTAGATTGGGCATCCAGCTCTTGATTTCGCTCAGTCATGATCTCACAGTCCGTGGGATCAAGCCCTGAGTCGGGCTCTGTGCTGCCCGTGCAGCGCCTGCTTGGGATTCTCTCTCTCCCTCTCTCTCTGCCCATCCCCCATGCATGCACGCACACACACTCCCTCTCTCTCTCAAAATAAATACATCAACTTAAAAAAAAAAGTGCTGAGGCAATTCAGTGGGGATAGGAAAAATTTTTCAACAAATGGTGTTGGAACTGGACAAACATATGAAAATAATAAACTTGGACCCTTCCTTCACAAAAATTAACTCTAAATATACAATATAAAACTGTAAAGCATAATCAGAACATCTGTGCAATTTGGGGTAGGCAGCGATATTTTTTAGGACATGAATCTCCAATTACGACTGTGGGTTTTTCCCTTTCGTTCTCCCACTATTTGCTTCATTATTTTTGAAGCTCTGTTATAAGGTCAAACACATTTAGGATTTGTTATGTCTTCCTGATGAATTGACCCCTTTAGCATTAGGACATACCTCCTTTCAGCCCTGACAACATTCCTTGTTCTGAAGCCTACTTTGATACGAATGTAGCCACGTTAGCTTCCTTCTGCTGTTTGCATGGTATAGCTCATTTGTTTCCCTTCAGACCTCTCTGTGCCTCTATCAGCTTGCAAGGGCTGCGATAACAAAATACCACAGGACGGGCGGCTTAAAAACAGAAATTTATTTTCTCACAATCCTGGAGGCCAGAAGTCCAAGATCAAGGTGCCGTATTTGGTTTTCCCGAGGCTTCCCTTCTCGCTGGGTTCTTATGTGGTGGCTCCTCCGTCTCTGTTGTGTGTGTGCTGGTCTCCTGTTCTCATAAGGACACCAGTCATGTCGGAGTAGGACGGCCCTAACAACCCCATTGTAACTTAATTACCTCTTGAAAGGCTCTGGCTCTAAATATGTCACATTCTAAAGTCCGCGGGGTTAGGGCCTCAACACAGAAGTTTTGCGGGGGATACAATTTTGCTCGTGAGTGTCTTCATGTGTATTTAAATGTCTGTCTTGTAGACAGTGCATAGCAACATCTTGCCTTGTTTTCCTGACAATCTCTTTCTTTTAGATGCTATGTTTGGTTCATGTACATTGTAATTATTCAAATGGTTGGGCTTAAATCTATGTCTTGCCATTTGCTTTCTATTTGCCCAATCTTTTTTTTTTTTTTTTTTTTAACTGTTC